TGTGTGTGTGTGTGTGTGTGAGACTACAAGTTGTTTTCAATGCCAGTTTAAACGATTTCACCTACCTAGTAGCCTACCTTTTAAGCTGATTAAGAAATAAGTGAAACTGGGTTTGTAGGTGGGAAAAATGCTTTGAATTTGGCAACAGGAAAAGCGTAGGCCATGTAAGGGGATGTGGATGTTCTCACTAAAGGATTAATGGCAGATAGGTAGGGAAATGAGAGTAAGAGGGGATTTACACACTAACACACTTCTGCCTTTAACTGTCTAGTTATAGAGTTTGTCTGTGGAGTCACAAAGGCATGTCTTGTCAATTGCATGTTCCCTTTTTGAAGCAACTGATGTCTATGACAGCTTAGCATGACAGCATGCTGGAATCATGAGCGGGTGACGTTTAGTTAAAAGGCTGTAATTGCATGGACACACATTGCTGTTAATGAATTGCAGTGTCTGGACTTGTGGGTTGTTGTTCAAAATGGTTTGCAGCATGTGAGCTACATCTAGTTATGCTGAATGAAACATTGTTAAAGGAATAGTTCACCCAAAAATGAAAATGTACTCACCCTCAGGCCAATCAAGATGTCGATGAGTTTGTTTCTTCATCCGAAAAGATTTGGTGAAATTTAGCATTTCATCACTTGCTCACCAATGGATCCTCTGCAGTGAATGGGTGCCGTCAGAATGAGAATCCAAACAGTTGATAAAACATCACAATAATCCACAAGTAATCCACCCCTCTCCAGTCCATCAATTAATGTCTTATGAAGCAAAATGCTGTGTGTTAGTAAGAAACAAATCCTCCATTTAGACATTTTAACTTCAAACCACTGATTCTGTCTAAAATATGAGTCCTCTATCCACAATAATGCTTCCTCCTGTGAAAAAGTTATTTAGTCTGAATCAGGAGAGAAATATGCACAGATCAAGCACCATTTACAAGCAAAAACAATTCTGAACAAATATGTGGGTGGATTTTGATCTGAGAGGACAACAGGGGATGGACTTTTTCACTGAAGGAAGTGTTATTATGGATTATGGACTCGCATTTTGTCTAGAAGCAACAGTTTAAAGACCTTAATGATGGGTTTGTTTCTTACAAACATGCAGTTTTTCACTTCACAAGATGTTAATTGATGGACTGGAGTGCTGTGGATTACTGTGATGTTTTTATCAGCTGTTTGGACTCTCATTCTGACGGCACCCATTCACTGCAGAGGATCCATTGGTGAGCAAGCGATGTAATGTATTTCTCCAAATCTGTTCCAATGAAGAAACAAACCTATCCACTTCTTGGATGGCCTGAGGGTTCATGCAGAGTACATTTTCAGCAAATTTAAATTTTTGAGTGAACTATTCCTTTAAATGGTTTAGAATTAAAATAAATGGGCTTGGTTTGACATTTTGTAATCAAATGCAATGATATTCAGACCTATTTAGTGTGACTTAAGACATCTTCACCGTATACATGCCCAAATTGTATTGTATTGTATTGTATTAATATAATTTATGAACCAAATAATGTAACAAATGTATTTAATTTCACCACTCTACTTTAAATATAAAACAAATCAACATGCATTAAATTGGGACCATGCAGTTAGTACATGGGTTGAGTTTGGCTGCTCATGTAGATGATACAAGCGCAAGTCTAGTGTGCGTCATTTCCTCCCATGTACGGTATGTAATGCATTTATTCATTCAGTTGGATTTTCTACTAAAATTCAACAATCTGTCTGCAGCTGTGTTCAATGGCACATGTAAGTGATTCCGCTTGCAGTCACATAGTCAGTCAGTGTGGTGGCCAATCGTCACAGCTTTTCCCTGCCTTTTTACTGTCATCTGCTTTCTCAGCCAAATGTTTCGGATGGACTGAGATTGTAAATGTTCCCAGCTTCTGAATTGCTGCTTGACATCTTGTACTTTTGGCTCAGAGGGGCATAGATTAAGGGGTTCACCATTGATGCATTAATGACAAGGTCGCATTTGATTTGCTTCACAAGATCTGGCTCTAGAGAGGGTACTGTTTTGAGGGCCTATGGAGAAATAAAGTACGGTTTTGTTCATTCATCCTCTGATTGGCAAGCTTTGTACTGGATTGAAATTGAATTAGAGAACTACTACAATCATTGTAGTGAAATATATTGGATTTTGTGAACAGGAACAACTCTGAATGTTTCTTTTAAAGCCGAGTTTGGGGTCGGTAAGATTTTGTAATGAAAGAAGTCTCTTATAGTCACCAAGACTATTTATTTCATAAAAAAATACAGTAAAAACAGGAATATTGTGAAATGTTATTACAATTTAAAATAATTTTGTTCCAGTTGAATATAATTTAAAATGTAATTTATTCATGTGATGTTAAGCTGAATTTTCAGCATCATTACTCCAGTCTTCAGTGTCACATGATCCTTCAGAAATCACTCTAATATGCTGATTTGCTGCTCAATAAATAGTTCTTATTAGTATCAATGTCGAAAACAGTTGTGCTGTTATATTATAGTGTAAATGGTTATACATTTTCTTTACATAGAAAATTATTTAAATAGAAGAGTCAGAAGAACAGCATTTATTTGAAACATTCTCAAACATTATAAATGTCTTTAATTTAATTTAATTTAATTTAATTTAATTTAATTTTTAATTTAATTTAAATTGTTTTAATGTTTTTATTATTTATACTGATGAATAAAAATATTAATTATTTAAAAGAAACAAATTAATAAATAAATAACTTACTGACTCCAAACCTTTTACGTTTTTTTGTTTCAAAATATTTTCCCAAACACTCCCCCATCTTCCACTGGTCACCCAAATATAGCCCCACCAAAACTCTTGCAATTAGTCTGCAGTGTTTGCACAAGCCAATATTGCTAAGCAGTGTTTAGAAACCTGCGTAAATGGCTTACCTGTCTCTGCATTTTAACCTGTAAAAAAAGATGCAGTTTTAACCTCCAACAAATGGCACACTTCACCTTTAATATAATGCTTGTGATTTGAAATGATAATTGAGATGTTGATTATCAAAGAACAGTGAAGCGTTTCTGTCTAAAAGAAATTTCTCATCACAAAAATATTGCAAAATAGTGGTGTTAGTGAAGTGGGAAATTGCTTAAAGGGCATCTTTTCATAATTTGCCTCTGTTTTGGTACTAATAAAAAAAATTGCAGTCTGTAATAAACAAATTTTTGCAAATATTGCTCTCTATAGACAGATTTATTCCTCAGCACACCAATTAAGAGGTAATGACGCATTGCATTCGCATTCAAAAATAATACATTGCAAATGCATGCAGACCATCCGAGTGTGACAGATTAACAGTTTTAGTTTTGCAGAGAAATATTTGGTTGTGTTTAAGGCCGTTCTGTATTCCACATAAAGGTTTCCTGCATGCAATTCAAATAGGACTTTGTTTAGGCCTGCAGAACAAATCAATAGTGTTGTTGCAGCACCTGTCATTCCCCCGAGTTGGCTTTACTACAGTTAAATAAGTAAAGATAACTGCCTCACCCTGGATTCGAGTAGGGCGGTGCAGTGGGGCTGGGGCTGCTTAATCACATCTTTCTCAGGCAATCATTGATTGCCCTTATCTTAAAGGGAAAATTCCCAACCTCCTTTGAGTCCTTAATGAACACTGGCAGCGATATTAAATGAGCTTGGCCACTAAGCTCAGAGGCACTGGCTTAATCTCAGGGCTGTGGGCTAAACGCTGCTACTATCAGCTG